GAAAGAAGACGATTCGTTGCACCATTTTCGGAAATAATCCTCGTCTGAATTAAGATTAACCCCCCTTCCGCGCGAAGCGCGGAAGCTTTTACGTTTCATTAAATCATTAGAGAAACTAGATGATTCGTTGTACAGTTCTCGACTCTTATTCCTTGTCTAAATTCGGTCCCACCCCCCTCTCCTCTTCCTCCTGCGCGAAGCGCGGATGCTTTTACGATTTATTAAATTATTAGAGAAAGAAGACGATTCGTTGTAGAGTTCTCGACTCTTAATCCTTGTCTGAATTCAGGTTCCCCCCTCCCGCGCGAAGCGCGGAAGCTTTTAAGTTTCATAAATCATTAGAGAAAGAAGACGATTCGTTGTACCGTTTTCGAAAAAAATGCTCGTCTGAATTTAGATTATCCCCTCCCCCCCCCCCTCCCGCGAGAAGCGCGGAAGTTTTTACGTTTCATTAAATCATTAGAGAAACTAGATGATTCGTTGTACAGTTCTCGACTCTTATTCCTTGTCTAAATTCGGTCCCACCCCCCCCCTCTCCTCTTCCTCCTGCGCAAAGCGCGGAAGCTTTTACGATTTATTAAATTATTAGAGAAAGAAGACGATTCGTTGTAGAGTTCTCGACTCTTAATCCTCGTCTGAATTCAGGTTCCCCCCTCCCGCGCGAAGCGCGGAAGCTTTTAAGTTTCATAAATCATTAGAGAAAGAAGACGATTCGTTGTACCGTTTTCGAAAATAATGCTCGTCTGAATTTAGATTATCCCCTCCCCCCCTCCCGCGAGAAGCGCGGAAGTTTTTACGTTTCATTAAATCATTAGAGAAACTAGACGATTCGTTGTACAGTTCTCGACTCTTAATCCTCGTCTGAATTCAGTTTCCCTCCTTCCGCGCGAAGCGTGGAAGCTTTAACGGTTCATTAAATCATTAGAGAAAGAAGACGATTCGTTGTACCGTTCTCGACTCTTATTTCTTGTCTAAATTCGGTCCCCCCCCCCCCCTCCTTTTCCACCTGCGCGAAGCACGGAAACTTTGACGTTTCATTTAACTATTAGAGAAAGAAGACGATTCGTAGTGTACCGTTTTCGACTCTTAATCCTCGTCTGAATTCAGGACCCACCTCCCCATCCCGCGCGAAGCGCGGAAGCTTTTAAGTTTCATAAGATTATGAGAGAAAGAAGACGATTGGCTAAACAGTTCTTGACTCTTAATCCTCGTCTGAATTCAGGTTCTCCGGAAGCTCAGGGGTTTTAGGCGTTTAATTAAGGTCAGATGAGCATTTTGTTTATACCATATTATTTTGTGACACTTGCAGGTCACCATTTGGCGTGGGGTCCAGGGGGCGGAGCCCCCAAAAATCAGGGGTTTAAGGCATTAAATTACCGTCAAATGAGCATCTAAGGGCCCGCCCTAGGGCCCTAAGTGGAATCCAGGGGGCAGAGCCCCCGGAAGCTTAGGGGTTTTTGGCAATTAATCACGGTCAGATGAGCATATTTTGATACCTCATTATTTTTTAACACTGGCAGTTAACTATTCTTTCTTTCTTGCTCTCATTCTATTTCATTTTTCTTTATTATGCTTTTTCAAAAAAAGTGGGGGGGGGGAGGGAGCTCGAGGCTCCCGATCCCCGCCGTACCTCGGGCCCTGACATGTAGGACTCTCAAGAATCATATTTCTTGCCTGGCTGTGAATTTAAGAATTTGTCATTTTCCAACAAACACATACAAACGTATAATTTACTAAAAAGTGAGGAAAAATCTCGGAAATTATGTCATTTCAGCATTATTTGTCATCCACCGTTGTGGAATTAGAAATAAACCACGTTCGAATTTGATTTCCCCCAAGCCCCCCCCCCCCCTATCAGTACGCCAGTATCTCCTCTTTTCCTTTTTTCTTTCCCTGTCCTTCCTTCTCTCTTATTTTTTTTATTGGGGGGGGGGGGGTCAACAGCCTGGGAGGCAAGGCCCTTTCGGCACCCCGATCTCCTTCTTCCCCCTTTTCTTTACTTCTTCCTTTTCTTTCTTTCCTTTTCTCTCCTCTTTTCCTTTCCCTTCTTTTCCTTTCTTCTCTCTTTTTTTTTTTTTTTTTTTTTTTTTGCGGGGGGGGGGGGGCCAAGGCCCGCTCGGCCCCCCCCCTGGATCCGCGCCTGGTGCTTGCCTACATGTAGGTTTTACCACCAGCGCACTTTTACGAGTATTACGGCGAAACTGGCCAGGCTAGCGTGTAAAAAAATATTCGCGGCCGGCGCGGGGGGGCCATTAAGGCCCCCCCCCCCCTAAGATCTCGGCCTCTTGGCATCCCTTTCGCACGTTAGACTTTTTTGTAATCATTTGTTTCGATTTTGAGGGACGAGGAGCTTTATCAAAACATGCAGTATGATAACTCATAACATCCTTATCTTTAATAAAAATGACATTACGCTATAAAATAAACTTTTTTTTAAATAATGAAAGAAAACTAATACAAATGGAATACTTTGCAAAAGACTTCAACTGTGAAACCAAACATAATAGATATGCAGACATGCACTCTGGAACAAAGAGTGACTGACATCGGTCATATGAAAAATATCCAACGCATTGTTGTCGTGACAATAAACGTCAAATAGAAACCAAATAGAAACCGACATTTGACATGTCGCTGCTTTTGATTTATTTGTTTCAACAGGCCTTCACATGGGATTTAAGTAGTAACAACTCCTTAAAAATTTGTATGATGAAAAAGTCACGAGGACAATTTCATTGCAACTGCTGATTGTATCTCAAAATACGTGGGTTTGCTTCCGTCATGTTTACCAATAGGCATTAGCATTTCTATAGGATAATCAAACAAACTGGGCGTTAGCCATTTGCGCATGCGTCCTCTAACCTCTTAATACGAGATCTTTAAGTTAATCAAAAATTAGTTTGTGTGTGTGTTTTTGGTGTATACAGGAGACTGCGCTGAGAATCTCACTTCAATCAAGTTGTATCTTCGTTCTGAACAAGATGGGGGTGATTAATTTTAAGTATGTGCACCTAGTTATTATACTTATAGCGGTCTTATTCGTATACACGGTGGATGATTCGAGAATCACAGGTAAGTTTCGTTTTAATATTCATTTAAAAACCCGAAGAGCTACCAACATAATGTGCAAATTCAAATGAAAAGTGAATATCATTATCATCGGATGAACAAAAAATAATAAAAGAATGACTTTATCCCCTTTTTATCTACATCCTCACCTGCGGGTGTCAAATACAGTGCGACCAAGATCAAACGAAACCAAGAATTATCGATGTTTTATCATAACTTAATAAAAATTATTATTAATAAATGACACATATTAGTAAAGCTTAGATCCTCTTCTTACATTTGATGCAACTTATATGATGCATACTTTACGCTTGAGTGATTAAAAGCAATTTGAAGGAAGGTAACCAAAAAGTCATTTGGCGGGCGGTATCTAAATTTCGAAGAAAGTTCATTTTCTGCTCTTTCATATGACACCTCAATCGGGAAAAATGAGCCAGGAATAATAAAGTTCTATTTGTTTAAAGTGATGCTTGCATTTTCATAATTTGATTAAACGAATCCCTTTTCACTGGCCGTAGCAACAAACGGAATTAACAAAAGACTTAAAGTGACTCGGTAACATTGTTGAAGGTTGTTGAAAAAATTGCTTAATTTTTGTATAAAATGTTACTTACTATATTCCTTCTACTATACTCACCCTCTGAAATGCAAACAATCCTGTACAAATTCTCAAACCACAAAGATATCTATGGTTTTCTTTGAAGGCGTCGATGTGAGTGATTAACGGTAAATTCTCCCAACCATTTTTTAATTTTCCCAACCGTTTTTCCATGAGAAAAATACATAAAACAGGCTATACAAAATCTGTCAACACTTAACTAACTGGAATGGAATGTAGAGCCATTTTATTGCTTTGTGACGATTTACATACACCTAAAATGTAATTAAATTGTCCTTGTCTTGATGCTGAACAGGCTTTGACAAGTAGGAGAATAGAAATAGAATTATATAGTTGGGAGAATTAAGGAATCGATCAGATCAGTTTTTCAAAATTTGTACCATAAATAATGATCCGTTTTCACTCAAATTTCCAGATTGTCTTTAATTGTACATCTAGCATTGAAGTCACTACCTTAGCACCACTATCTCTCATCTGAACAATGTTACAAAGTCCCTTTAACTCCGTTTCGTTGACGATTAGACATAGACGAAAGACTTCATTTATGTCTATCTATTATTTAAAGGAATTTAACCAAACTATAAAATAATTATCTAGGAACAAACCTTTCATATAAACAAATTATATACCTCTCTTTAGAAATCTAACCATCTTATTGGTCGAAATTGGAATCGTGATTTTAGCCATGCCCGCCTAGCGGTCAATAGTATTTAAAAAGATGCCCGCATGCCCGCCTACCGGTCAGTATTTTTTTTTTAAAGATGCCAGTTGCCCCGTGTACTAAACAAGCCGCATGAATGAATTTTGCTGAGATCCCCATTGGTTTACGTGTAAAAAAATTCTTTGAGCGAGCGCGGATACCATACATTTTTGTGCGATTTGGTCGTTACAGTTTAGGTTTTATAATCATCCCTGAGATCCCCATTAGTTTAAGTGTAAAAAGGTTACTTTGTGTGAACGCTGATACAAAATACAGTGCAGTGTGTGTGCGGTTCCCGAATGATCTTAACATTCAGGAAACTTTCCAGCAAAGGTATACAGGCAGTGTCTCAGATTTTATGTGATGTTTTAACCAGGCTTTACTCAAGAAAATGATAAGGTTAAAATTCTCTGTAGATTTGTTTGGGAATTCGGTATATAAAAGATATATCGACTGCTCTAATATTCGAAGCATATTTGTTTCTTGATATAACGGACCATTGAGCCTATAGAAACAGCGATGCCTCTCATAGCAGTCAATATATCTATACTATTACATCATTTGGAAATATGATTTAATACAACTTTTCGTGAAATACAATCTTCCACATAGACATACGTCTCGTCAACGGCTCCAACAATGCTGAAGGAAGAGTGGAGATCTTCTACGGTGGATCGTGGATGACCGTTTGTGATAAAAACTGGGATCTGTTAGCAGCAAGGGTAGTCTGCAGAATGCTGGGGTTCGACGGAGCCTTGGATGCGACACGATCCGCAAGCTTTGGGCAGGGATCTGGTGGTATTCTCTATGTAAAGTGTTTTGGGACAGAAGACAGCCTGGCAGACTGTTATCGTGTATCGGTCGTCTCATCCTGCAAACATAAATTAGATGCAGGTGCCGTGTGTTACTCAGGAGGTACAAACTCTTTTGGATCTTAGGAAACGATCAGTCGGATATTTGTAAATGGCATACTGTTCATATTGCATTAAAGTGAAAATGTGAAATTCTTTTCAGGATATTCACTCATTGATACATCTCTTCCTTTTAATTGAAAATTCATTGAATGAGAAAAAGCATTATGTTTAAGAAGGTGAAGTTAAGTCTTTTTTTATTATTGCGTTTGACTTTGAAAACTTGTCCAGGCATTCCTTGAAACTGAAGTAACATGCAGTCTTATTGCTCTTGTGGACCCAATACTTTAACATTAGGTTCATTTTAATTCATACTCGATTTTTTTTTTTTTTTTTTTTTTTTTTTTTTTAAATAATTTAGCCCACCCGAACCCATTCGCGGTTCTTCTAGTCGGTGGCGCCAGCGATGCTGAAGGCAGAGTAGAAGTACTCTACGATGGATCCTGGGGAACTATCTGTGATTCATGGTGGGATCTGACAGACGCAAGGGTGGTGTGCAGAATGCTGGGGTTTGATGGAGCCTTGGACGCACCGGGATCTGCACGATTTGGTCAGGGATCTGGTCGTAGTCTTCTAGGATATGTAAATTGTGATGGAAATGAAGACAACGTAGCAGACTGTGCTCATGCAGGAATTGGACGTTACTCATGCAGTCATACAAGGGATGCAGGAGCCATCTGCTACTCAGGACGTATGTTTTTTCAGCATTTTAACTTTGCTAGTAATCCATCTACCCCACAATGACTTTTATTGATTGCTTATTGGATGAGCACGAACATCGGAAGAGATATATATAAATGACTTTAACAATCTATTTTCACCGTAGTTTGAAACAATGAATTATTTATTATTATTATTATTATTGGATAAGCACGAACATCGGAATAGATATATATGAGTGACTTTAACAATCTATTTTCACCCTAATTTGAAACAATGAATTTCGATTTATAAACGAATAAAATTGTTGTACACAAAATCAAAATCTTTCACCGACATTCAGGTTTTACGCCTGGTCGTTTTTTGTTTTTTTTTAAGGGAGACAGGTATTGTTATAACGGACTATACATGATACTGCTCAAAATTTGTTCCCCCCCCCCCCCCCCCCTCCTCTCCTAAATAGACGTTTTCATTTCGTCTTATCGATGACTTGCTTGGTTAACAATTATAACCAAATCAGAATAATTTTCTCATTAGTATTATGTTTTTAATAGTGCCGAAAATGCGTTTTCCCTTCTAATCGTCTACAGCTCACCGTGAACAGTTAATTGTCAGGTAATACTAACATGATATCGAAATGTGATCGATGTCAATTCATTTGTGATTACCCTCATAAATGTTCAGCGAACTTATGTTGAAACGTGTGATATCATCTCAAAGGATCTATTACGTTCTTATTCTCTAATATAGTCCATCCAAATCCATTTAAAGTTCATCTTGTCGGTGGGTCTAACGAAGCTGAAGGCAGGGTAGAAGTCTTGCAGGACGGATCCTGGGGAACTGTCTGTGGTGTTGGCTGGGATCTGAGAGACGCGAGGGTGGTGTGCAGAATGCTGGGGTTAGACGGCGCCCTGGACGCACCGAGATCTGCTAATTTTGGTCAGGGCTCTGGTCGTATTCTATTACAGTATGTCAACTGCGACGGAACAGAAGACAACCTAGCTGATTGTGCTCATGCAGGGGTCGAACGTTACTTATGCAGTCATACAAGTGATGCAGGAGCCATGTGCTACTTAGGAAGTATATTTCCTTTTCCCACATAACCGAGTTGTGTTGTTTGCATGCTTAAAGATATAGGCCTTGACCAGTTTTGTAAACGCACCCCTCTCAAAAAATGAAATGGAAGCTTGCATTAACAATCATGAGAAAGAATGTGTTTTTACTAATACGTGATGATACAAATTTTGCCGGGAAAACCGTCTACTAATGGATATATTTGGTAAATTATTATATCTATCCGGACTGGTTAGATATCTCGTAGTCCAATATACATCTGTTTGTGTGCAGTGCTTGTAACTTTACCAAGACTGGGCCAAATTTCTTATCCTTTTAATGATTCCAGAACCTTGCAGTGCACACCAATACTTATATGCTAGATGATCAACCTTTTCTGATCGATTCAACAACGTTCCTTTCACAATGCAATGGCATGACCGGAAGTGGTCTATACCTTTAACAGATCAATAAAAAAAACTCCAGAGCTAAGTGTCGTACAACTCAATATTCTTTCTTGCAAATGGTCTAAACAAAAACTCAAAAACTTTGAATCCCCCCCCCCCCAAAAAAAGAGACTTTCTAGTTTTATGTGTCTATAGAGTACCGAAGATGTGACATCATACAAATCTGTTTTGGGATTTTTTAAATGTTTTCTTCATTTTCCGAAAGAGCTTCGAAAATAATGTAAAAATGTCGAAGACCAATTTAATATGTTAAGTATTGGCTGATATATGACCATCTGAATACATACATTTCTTATAGGAACTTAGTGCTATATTGAGAAATTCCATTTCTATACTTTTGATGACGTCACACCTCACCACGCTATAACGTATTAAAGTCAAATGCAACCACACCATATTTCGTAATTCTACAGCCATTTATTATTTTGGTTTCAGTACAAATTATTTTAAGCCGAAAATGCGTGTTTGGTAGATAATTGGAACTTATAAAACATTTTCGCATACCTCAGTATCATTACTATACATGTGTTGATTGTAGGAAATACTACAAATAATCTTTCTTCAAAACTATTTTACAATTCTATTCAAAGCTATTATATTAGACAAAATGCTATCCTAATGCGGTATATATATCTTTCCTTTTCACGTGTAGCTCATCCAACCCCATTCCAAGTTCGTCTTGTCAATGGATTAAAAGATGCCGAAGGCAGAGTAGAGGTACTGTACGATGGATCCTGGGGAACTATCTGTGATTCGTGGTGGGATCTGAGAGATGCGAGGGTAGTTTGTAGAATGATGGGGTTTGATGGAGCCTTGGACGCACCGGGATCTGCTAGGTTTGGTCAGGGCTCTGGTCGTATCCTGCTAAAGTATGTCAATTGTGACGGAACTGAAGACAACCTGGCTGACTGCACTCATTCAGGGATTGGACGTTACTCATGCAGTCATACAAGGGATGCTGGAGCCATCTGCTACTCAGGACGTATGTTTTCTTTGTACTTTATCATTGCTAGTAGTCCAGCTACCAGACAATGATTTTCATTGGGTGCTTATTGGATGGGCACGAACATCGGAATAGTTATGTATTAGTGACTTTGAGGATTTACATTCTTCTCTTTAACAATCGGAATTTCGATGTATAACCAATTTCAAAATTGAAAATTAACATACTTGACAATTTGCTAGTAATCGGTCGTTTTTTGTACGGATGCAAAAATGGTTCTACCGGATTTCACATGATAACGTTCAAATAAGTTTCTCGAAAAAAGAGGTATTTTAATTCCGACATGAAGGTTTTGTATGAGAAGCAATTACAACCAAAGCATAAAAACTTCCCTTTGTCTACGCATGTATATATTAAGCCCAATATGCAATATATCTCTTTCATCCTCTACGGCCGGCATTACGTTTGAAGTAAATTGTTACGTAGTTCTTATAGGACATCTAAATGGAATCAATTGCAAATGAATTATAAGTGCCCTCATAATATTTTATTGAAAGTGAAAAGTGTGGTAATATCATCTAAAACGACCTTTGTGCCACTCTCTTCTCTACTAGTCCATCCAAAACCATTTGAAGTTCGTCTTGTCGGTGGGTCTAACGAAGCTGAAGGCAGAGTAGAGGTCATGTATGAGGGATCCTGGGGAACCATCTGTGATGACAGCTGGGATCTGAGAGACGCGAGGGTGGTTTGCATAATGCTGGGGTTTGATGGAGCGTTGAACGCGCCAAGATCTGCTAGGTTTGGTCAGGGCTCTGGACATACAATTCTAGATGTCCTCGGATGTGACGGAACAGAAGTAAACTTAGCAGAATGTGCTCTTGCATGGGTTGAAAGTTACTCATGTGGCCATACAAGGGATGCAGGCGCTGTTTGTCATTCGGGAGGTAGGTTTTTTTTTAAAGGCCAGTCGCTTGAGTAAATATGTCTAAATATTAAAATAGCCTGCAGATATCCCTGGAGATATATTTTGCATGTCCTGTAGTCAGCCATTGAGGTCGGCCGCAAGAAGCTGACTTCCGCAAACAAATGAGAATTATTGGAGGGTTTCCTTACTTCGATATTCCACCTTAATTTTTTGTTTAATAATAAAGGGATTGCTCTTCTCCAAATATTTCTGATCACGTGTAGTGCTCTAAACCAATCCATGTATTTTTTAAAGAGGAGTGCATGATTACATTTCCTTGTAAGAGTATGTACATTTTATTTGATAAACCTATTCTGCTTTTCATCCTAACCATTCATTAAACACAACAGGGCCATTCTTTGTTCGTCTTACCAATGGAACCACCGATTTAGAAGGCAGGGTTAAGGTTTCGTATAAGGGAAGCTGGGGTAATATTTGTGATGAAAATTTAAATTTAAGAGATGCAAGAGTAATTTGTAAAATGCTTGGATTGGACGGAGCTTGTTAGTGCTACGCCCGGTCACGGACGCGGTAAAATCGTGTTTGATTACGCTGGGTGCAATAGCAAAGGAGACACTCTTGTCGAGTGCTATCATTGAGGGCTTGGAGTTAAAAAGTGTGAACATGATAGTGATGCTGGTGCCATTTGTTGTATAGAAGGAACGTTGTGTATTTTAAAATATTAGAGTGCAAATACTAGTTGTCAGCCAAATTGAGTCATGTAGATGTTACCGGGAGGTATCGCGATAAAGATACCTGCAATTGGTCCTATACCTAGGCATGCACATTACGGTTAGGCTCAGGTTACCATTACACCGGTTTAGCTTCTTTATTATAATTGAAAATAATTTAAACATATAACATCGCGAGATTTGGTTTCTTTGGTATACTTAGTACTTGCCAATTGGTAACACTTCAGTGACTTGTGTTAATAAACATACCAACCCTTTTTACCACTGTCTGTGTTGACCAATGTTTCATGTATGGGTTTTTTAACGAAAATCAATCGTCATCATATATCTCATAGTTATTTTGTTTAGAGAGTGCCAGTAAGTTGTCAAAGTAAAGTTGATGGCAACTGAATAAATATTTTGCACACATTCTGCCAAGTATAAAATTCTTTTCATCTTGACCGTCTAGATCCATTTCAAGTTCGTCTTGTCAATGGATCAAACGATGCTGAGGGAAGAGTAGAAGTACTTTACGAAGGATCCTGGGGAACTATCTGTGATGACTCGTGGGATTTAAAAGATGCGAGGGTTGTTTGTAGAATGATGGGGTTCAACGACGCAACAGCTGCGCCTACTTCTGCAAAGTTTGGTCAAGGACCTGGCCATAGTCTTCTGACATCTCTCGGCTGTGGGGGGAATGAAGATAGCTTGGCAGATTGTTTTCATGCAGGTGTAAGACGTTCTCATTGTAGTCATATTAGTGATGCCGGCGCTTCTTGCTCCTTGGGAGGTAAGATTTTAATATGGAAAATCTTATCATCATTTTATATCCCAGCTGGATAGGTCTATGCTTCTTGATTGAATACTTTTCTTGTGTTAATGGAGATGAGAATTTCATTTTTTTATAAAACTGTCAGATTGATATATGTTTTACAAATTTCTACATGTGTTCCTGTATATTAAACTCTTTTTTTTAAAGCTGTGGCTAAAGTAATTTTTAACGCATTATCCTTACATGTGTTTGTCAATTGTCACCAAGTATTTCCAACATACCGTTCTATGAAATAATTTGTTCAGAATTGCGTTGATATTCGCTAAACATTGTTAATAATTTTCTGATTAGATTAACATGAATCTGTATTTATTTGCTTTACATTTCAGTTCGACTTGTCAATGGAGCCGATGGATATGAAGGAAGAGTTGAGATACTACATGAAGGGTCTTGGGGACTGTATGCGACGATTCATGGGACCTGAACGACGCTAAGGTTGTATGTCGACAGTTAGGATTTGATGGTGCTGTGGCTGCTCTACCCCAAGCCAGATTTGGTCAAGGTCATGGTGAAATCTTTCTAGATGGTGTTCAGTGCAATGGAACAGAAACCAACGTCAAAGACTGCAAGCATGATGGGATAGGTGTTCATAGTTGTGTACACAAGGAGGATGCCAGTGTCATATGTGAACAAGGAGGTAATACCATAAATCCGTCATTAAAAAAGGACTAAATTATACATTTGTAAACACGTTGATGTAACACCTGGGAAACGTCATTATGCATATAAAACAAAATTTTCGGGAAATAAAGATTACATATAGACCGTCACTCGGTAATGAGAATAAATCCTAAACATGGCGGTTTATGAAAGCTCCTGTTGTTTTCAAGCGCGTAGCCAGGATTTCATTTTAGGGGGCGGTAATGAGCACGCAAAGCGTGCGAATCACTTACAGAGCGCGCTCCCTAGTGGGGTGGGTGCAGGGAGGGGGGAGTTTCACCACCCCCCCCCCTCCCGCGCGAAACGCGGAAGCTTTGAAAGAAGACGATTCGTTGTACTTTTCTCGACTCATAATCCTTGTCTGAATTCAGTCCGTCCCCCCTCTCGCGCGAAGCTTTGACGTTTCATCAAAATATTAGAGAAAAGTGACGATTCGTTGTACCTAATTTCCCGACTCTTAATCCTTATCTGTATTCAGTCTCCCTCCCGCGCGAAGCACGGAAGCTTTGAAAGAAGACGATTCGTTGTACCTTTCTCGACTCATAATCCTTGTCTGAATTCAGTCCCTCCCCCCTCTCGCGCAAAGCTTTGATGTTTGATCAAAATATTATAGAAAAGTGACGACTCGTTGTACCTAATTTCCCGACTCTTAATCCTTATCTGTATTCAGTCTCCCTCCCGCGCGAAGCGCGGAAGCTTTGAAAAAAGACTATTCGTTGTACCTTTCCCGACCATTAATCCTAAATTTGAACTCAGTTCCCCCTTCCCGCGCAAAGCGCGGAACCTTTGATGATTCGTTTGACCGTTCTCGACTCCTTTTCCCTTTTTCTTCCTACGTCCTCTTTTTTTTTTGGGGGGGGGGCGACCGCCCCCACCGCCCCACCTCCCCCCTCCCCCTGGCTACGCGCCTGGTTGTTTTACTGAGTAAAAAAAGACATCTAAGACATTGAATATTGGAACTGAAGAAGTTCAAATGAAAAAACAAAAATACTGCCACAGGCTTTATTAAAAGATTTCGATTCCCTTTGAACAGTAATATGTTTTTTCTTCTTCATTTGTTAGGGTGGGGAAGACGTTTTGAGATGAATTAATCTCATGCACATTTTTATAAATGGAAAATAAGGCATGAGTTTATTTATTATTTGTGCTCTCTACATTTTTGTCATTTTCATTAAGATTTATCGGTACATGAAGCCAATTTTTTTATTTTTTTTTAATATCTTTATAGGTTTCACGAAAAACTCAACTAAGCTTTTGCAAATTGGACACGAAACCACGATAGTTCCACCAAGAAAGCAAGGACAAAACTCCAGCACACCTCAACATCAGCTTAACACTAGTAAAATTGCCGTCCGAATGATAATTCTAATTGGACTGTGTATTTTATTCTTCAGCAGCATTCTGATCGCATCATTCGGGTACTGTATCTATAGGTTTAAAAAGAGAATAGCTGCTAGGAATTTAGTCACTGAAATATATGTGGACTTGACGACTATGTCATCAATGCATGCTCGGTCACCTGGTTCCGCTTACCAAGACTTGAATGCACCACCTAAATTACCTGAAAGACGGAAAAGTGATGTTTTGGATCACCATTATGAATCAAAAATAAAAGATATAAAAGATAATCATGATGACGATTTAGAAGAGGTCCATGATTATGCCGATATGAAAACTGTTTCCCGAGCACCTCAAACCAATAAAGAATTGGACATAGACGGATATCTCCTTCCGAACACGGAAATACCTTTAAACGATGGAAAGTCGGTATCAGATAATAGGAACTGTGGTTGCATAAAGGACATGCCAAAACCTTCAGATGAAAAAGCAGGAACGGGGCCTTTATCTCAAGGCAATAAGGAAAATATGAAAAACGATTATATGGAAATGAAAACGGTTTACCAAAAGCCAAAAACGGGGAAGGAAATAGATCTTGATGAATATATCCTTCCAAACGCAAGACCTTCGCTGGATGAAGGTGATACAGGAACCTATAAACTGACTCCTGAAAATAACGACAAGGAATCGAACATGGAAATCGATTGTACCGGAGGTGAAGGGAAGGTCCCCTTACCGCAAGACACGTCACAGAAAGAGATACACAAGTACATGGATATGAAAACTGTTTGCCTAAGTCCTGCAACAGGAACCCACTCAGATCTCGATGGGTATCTTCTTCCAAGTGCGATGCTAGAGACTAGATCTATCCGAAACAATATCAGAGCAGAATCAGATGGACAATCTGATGAAGACACGGTGCCAGATGAGGAATGAATGGCGGCGAGTCAATGAAAGAAAGATCACAAAGTATGAGCACTGGAAAAGAAGAGTATTGTACTAGCAACTATCGGAAGCAAAGTTGAAGGGAAGTGTCGAGGTGGTAGGTGTCCTGCAGGATGGACAGACATCTTCAAGAATTGGGAGGGTGGAATGAGAGTAGCGAGATTGAATGCGCGCGAGAGGAGCCGTCGTCCCATAGGGGCTGTGGCATAACACATATAGTACATATAGTAGTATGCATTTTAAAGAACGGGATGAAACATGGAGGATTCCAGTAAACTAACCTATAAAACAAGGTGGCATCTGAGATTAATGTACATAAGCCATATTGACTAAAAGACACACTCTGAAGGAGATAAATATTGATTAGTATGTTATGTATGAACCATTTATTCTTAATTTAGAACAGGACAATTTGTCATGCACCAAACCAGAAATATTCCAGAACCTGTTCCGTTAACACTTTGTTAAAATGGTGGTATTCCTCGTCTTTCGACACAAACATGTTCTCACGACATTTAAACTTACTGTGATGTTTGTAATTTACTAACAGAACCAATTTGTATATAACGATCATCAGATGAAGCAACTTGCAACTGAACTAGACCGAGTTCAGAATTGTGCAACTAAGAAATAGCCAAGTGTTTTTTATTGGCTCCCAGAGTCATTCTGTAAAAAACGACACTTATTACGTTTGTCGAATAAATTTGATGGTGCTGTTATGTTTGTTGTTCATATCACTAAAACTTATCATCACTGAAGCCCACACAGTATTTTATGAAAGAAAATGTCTGCAAAATAACAAGCGAATTAAATGACAAAGAAACTGTTGAAAGTTCTCATTTATCGTAAAAGTGCTAGTTAAATTCATTTCAGGTTTTTAAAAGAAGTCTAAATCCGAGTACTTTATATTTTTATTGTCATCTACAGTTGTGTAATTTGCATGAAATGATCTGATTGTAATTATGTTATCTTTGTACAAACATTTATTGTTTTTCGATTTGTATGCGCCCAAAAACAATGGGATTGAGCGCTTTATAAATTGTATAAAAATTATGTATATATTATTATCAGTATTAGTAGAAGTAGTATTATCAAGACAGGCGGAAAGTGGACCCTATATGTAATTACTCAGTGGTGATTAATCTACATACAATATTGTGTTTGATAGAGATATATTATGAAGTTCAAGTTCTGAATTTGTAGTCTAAAGTTATGTTTGTTTCCCGCCTTTGATCAGGGTTGTCTGGTCTTTCTTCTTTTTGTTTATATTCGTTCTATATGCTTTTAAATCTTTAAATCTGTTATGTGTTATTGTCTTGTATTGCATATTCATGTAACCAAACTCTCATTTTGCTTTCGAGCACTTTCAATTTTTGTTCATGAGAGGACTATCTTGCAAGACCGCCTTGGTATTTTATGGTACCCTTGATGCCATGTGTGATGATTTGCATCTGTGCTGTAAAATTAATGTTCTGCTTTGTATATGTATATGCTTTTATTTGAATTCAACAGAGTTGAACTTGAACATGATCAAATGCATTGTAAATAAGTATCTCTACGAAAAGTGAGGGAATTTCAAATTGCCTTTTTTTAATGGGAAATCCCTCCTTTGTTTAAGATACGTCATTATTTTTTTTAAATATGTTAAATAATCATCGCTATGAAGATACCTCTTTTCACCATATCAAGTTCGTCAAATTGCGTATCAACATAATTTTTAAAAAATAAGAAGAAAATCGGTTGGTGAAAAGTAAATTAAACATCGTACATCTTACATGAGTAGAAACGTAAGAAAGTTGAGATTTTTGGAATTGCATAATTATTGGCGAAATAGCAATTAGACTGTGATGTAGATAGGAACAACTCCCAATATCTGTGTAGGCCTACTCTGATAAAATATTCTCTCAAATTTGCGAAAGTTGTCTAACACTACATGATAGCGAATTAATTATCAATTTTCGTGCGACACAGAAAAATAAAGGCCTGAAAACATAAACACTTATGAACTATGGGCTTCCCGTTTTGTATAAAGAAGTAATATACTCTCAAATACGCCATGTCATATGCAGTGTACAGTGTCACTATAAACTACTGTACACGTTGCCCTTGATGGCAATTTGCACATTTGCACGAGGCCCATCTTTTAATATACATATTTTTAATATTTTGTCTTCTTATTATTATACATTTATGTCTTATTTGTCAGTCGTCATTGTCTCTTTTTGATTTTTCCAGTGTTTACTTTACTATATACATGTCGTAACAAGTTTTCAAATTACGGATTTATAATTGTATTATTCTGCCACTTTTTGGTAATCTATGCATATATTTATTTTTTGTTCAAGTCAATACATTTACATGTTACCAAAACTATGTTTGTCATTATTTTGAGGGATCCACATTTTACATGCTTGGGTTTTCAGTGGCTCCCTCCATTTCTACTGGTTTAACTTAAAAAACTTAAACAAAACTATTATACGAGATATTTATG